CACATGTTATATACCACTCAGTGAACCTACGCTAAAAGTGGTCTTTTGCACGACCATCAGCAAAGCTAAAGTGGCTAGCCCACGTCATTCGGGCACCTAATGACACTGGTAGCTTTGTCAACTGTCATGCTTACAACGACGTCCAGTGTCGGCACACTCCGTAGCACATAAAGCATTCTGCTTTCTAAATCAGTTTCAAGCACTGGTGTAGGTCTTGTCGTGGAATATCTTACAGCCGAGAGGAACGGCTGAGTGCAATTCTGAATGGATTCCTTGAATCTGTTGGGGATTTTTTGTCCCTTAAGGGCAATGGCAAAAATACCACCTTTACTATAGCCTTAGCTCTTTAATGCTATCATGTCAAAAATGTGGTGCTGCTCAAAAGTTCCGCCAAATAAACAAAAGCCTCCTGTGCGATTCATTTCAACCATCTGCTATATTTCTAAGCATTATTTATTAGAAAATTGTTCTTTTTTAGCCTTGTTCCGTGTGATGTCCAACGCACCTTTACACTCAGGGTAGCTGTTGGTGGCTACTTGGCGCCAAATTGGCTACTTTCTATCCCACCTGGCAACAAAAATTCCATGTTGTGGCTATTTTGAACTTGTACTTTGGCATATTTACTGGCCATTCCTTGTACTATTTGAAGAAGAAGCAACAAGCAAGTCTAAAGAACATTTATTTTGGCAAGCTTTTCTGTCGTGCTGGCCTATGCACGCATGCTCGGCCAGTGAGTTCAGTGCGCATCAAGGCACCCTACAAGCGTCCCTCTGTCTGAAAAGACTGAGGGGTCCACTCATGTAAGGAAAAGAGTGGCTACATAGCAACACAGCCCTGACACCAAATCATAATGTTGAAGCTGGACTTTTCACATTTCACTACTTGAAGCTGGATTGGTATTATTCTACTGTACTAATCTCAGTCTGAAGAAAAAAGACAGCTTCAATTTTTATTGCTTCTGCGGAGTTGTTGGCCCAAAATAACTTTTGTGCAGACATACAGGCTGTATACATTTACAACTTGCCTGTGGCTTGGAAACCAAGAAAGAAGTAAAAATGTTGGGCTTGTTAAACCTTGCTTTTGCTCATTCGAAATCGTGCAATTTACTGCGGAATACCAATTCCATATATTACCTCTCTTATCTATTACGCTACAAATATGGTGCCAATATTAAACAACACGGCTACTTTGACTACGCTTAGCTCACGTTTTGGCTCCTTTTCAAATCTGCCCAAAGGCAACCCTGTTAACATTACTGTGAAACAGTCATTTCTGATTGCGATCGGGTCTGATGATCGAATTTCTCTATGATTGGCTTCTTTAGGCAAGCTGTGCAATGAAGGGTAGTAAACAGCTCAATAGCAAACAGCAGCGCACCGTGTGCCATATCTGTCAATCAATCGCATGATCTGCGGGCTACTGTCTGATCAACACTTGGCGTTGATGGATGGGCAGCTCGAACTGGATCAAGTGAAACCTGACAAGAAATTCTAGTTGTGGGTACGTCTAACATACAGCGGTGAGCACTTTTAGGGTGAACACAAGAGCGCATGGCCGATGGTATGATCAGCACCGCCCAACACCCATCATGAGAAAGGTTGAGCATGCACAGCATATGATCGGTGATACACCCTTTCCACTGCACGCACACGTCATGGATATGCTTCTTCGTCTGCTAGCCGCATTTTTGTTGGCTAAGCTGACATATACTGCATTTCAAGGTCCATTTCGGTTGGAAATTGGTGCGTGAATACAAAAATGAGCATAAAACAGTTTACCTTCAACTGCTTATAACTTCACATGCAAATTGCATCAGCTTAGCAGACGACAAACAAGCGTATCCATGGCGTGATGCGCGCAATGGAAAGAATGTCGCCCAGCGTATGCTGCGCATGTGCAATGTCTCCGGCGATGGATCTTACGCGGCACTGATGGCGCTGTTGGCCACGCGCTCGCATGCTCATCACTCTACAGCCGTCCGCAAGCTTAACACGACACTACAACGCTACGCAGCGCATCCTCAAACAGTTGGATGGATGGATTGATGTGGCTGTACCCTTTAGATCGGGCGGCGGCTAACGCCACTTAGCTGTAATACTTAGTGAACCACCAACTAGATTTATCCTTTCTTTCCCACTTCAAATAGTGAGGTTGAGAACTGGTACTTTGCACTCAAGGGTTTAATTTTCATTCGTGCCTTGACTTTAGCCACCAATCAGATAACCTCCTGCTAGTTAATTCTACCCGCTTAAAGTCTATTGTGCCCTTCCTGTCCCTAAGCCCCACTGCTTTGAAAAACTCTGCGCCATCATCCTGAACTATAGGGTGAAGCCCTTTACAAAACATTATGAAGTGTTCGGCAGTTTCTTCTACCTCTCCACACGCTCTGCATACAGTGTCTACCCCTTCGTATTTGGTCCGATATGTCTTGGTTCGCAATACCCCCGTCCTGGCTTCAAACAGTAGAGAACTACCCCGAGTATTATCATAGATCCTTTCCTTGTGCTTAAAAGTTCGATAGATCTTTAGTGCGGTCTTTTCAACCATGCCAATTCTCCACATGTCAGTCTCTGTTTCCTTCACTTTCTTTTTAACCGATAGTTCTTTTTGGTTTGGCCCCCTGCTGTTTTCTAAGTATTTACCAGTCAATTTTCTGGTTCGCTTCCGCCATTTTGTATCGACATTCTTCATGTACAAGTAGCTGAATACTTTCCTAGCCCAACGCTCCTCCCCCATTTCTCTCAATCGCTTCTCAAATTTTATCTTGCTGCTAGCTTCCCTACCCTCAAATGATGTCCATCCCATTCCACCTTGTACTCTCCGATTTGTTGTATTCCCGTGAGCTCCTAAGGCAAACCTACTTATTCTTTGTTGCTTAATTTCTAATCTTGCTTGAACTTCTGATCTCATGCACAAGACCGCATTGCCGAACGTCAGACCCGGGGCAAGGTTCCTTTTGGCTATAGTGAACTAGAACATTTTCTAGTGGTGCGACCGGCGGGGGCTGCGGCCGGCGAGGGTGAAGCAAGATGACACTGACGGCCGGCGAGGGCGCCACTGCACCTTTTCCTAGCCTCCCGCTGCTCCGGCGCGCTCGTTGGCAGTTGGTGGCACATGGCTGGGAGGGTTGTGGTTTTGCTCGTTTTGTGCGCGCAGTGTTACTCGAATAACATTATCTTGCGTATCTTGGCGTTAAGTAGTCAATGCAGTGAGCGGGATCTATATTGTACCAGCGACTGGGAATTTCGCGATGACATGGCGAAAAGAAGAACAGATTCCCACTGTTTTGCACCAGGCTGCCGCACCGGCTATCCGGGCACGCCGAAAGCATCGCTGTTCGCCGCACCAAGAGACGACTCGCTTCGAAGTAAATGGGAGCGAAACCTAAGAAGAGCAGACAAGAGCCTGACGGAATCATCAGCTGTGTGTGAACATCATTTCGAAGTGCATTGCATATTGCGCGATTACGTTCATGTGGTCGATAGCGTGGAAGTGCGCGTTCCGAGAGGCAAGCCGTCTTTAGCTCCCAGGGTTCTCCCCACGGTGGTCGGCGGTGGTTTTGCCGTCCACCTCTCCGGCCAACCGTCCACCTCTCCAGTCGGCCGTCCACCGCTGCCCACCTCTCGGGGTTCAAGCTTGCTGTACTCGGGGAAAACTGGAACCTACGAGTGCGAGACGCCGGCACGCCGGCTCCCGCAAGCGCGAACCGAAAAAGCAGGCCGGGAAGGAAATGTTCAATGAACGGACCCGTCAGCGACTGGAGAGAAGAGTTAATGTCAAAGAACGCGCTCATCGCAAAAGAACAGGAGTTGAGAGCGCACGGTGATACGGGTGCCATTTCCCCTTTCATGCCTAGGCTTGGCCGGCATGGCGTTGGCTTGGCTGCGCCTCCATACAGCTTCGGCATTCGGCTCGCCGATACCGATCGTACAGCTCGCGCGCGCTCTCATCGTTGTTGAGGGCCTCTATTCGCAACGTTGTCGCTGCTTTCTTCCTCAACTTTATTTATTGCTTTCTCAAGAAGCTGCATTTTCCTATTTGCGCAGCATCACAAGTAAAGACAGCGCCTACACGCTCGGCGTATATGTACATTTTTAAAACATTCGTGGTGTGGCGCCACTGAACGTCCCATCTTCATAACCCCATAAATCCAATCCAAGCCAAGCCAAGCCAAGCAAACGAAGCGGGCGCACGCGCGCTACGCCAGTGGTAGATATTCTCCGACTACGCGAACAAAAGCCTCGTGAAATTCGTAGTCGTTCGTTGTTCGTTCAGTCAGAGGTTCAGTCGTTCAGTTGGTTCAGTGCGCAAGAGATGGCTGCGAGAAAAAAGGCGGCGCAGCCATCTCTGCTGTCGTTTTTTTCTCGAAAAGCTACCGACGAAGTGACCAGTAGTGATCCGCAAGAACAAACTACGCAGCCGGAAGCACCCGATGTGGACGCTGTTGAGCCCCTGACATCGCCTGTGTCGCAGGGACTGAAATCCAGTGCGCATGATGGCGGCAGTTCAACCCCAAGCGTTGAAGCAACGTGTGACGAGACAAATGCTTGCGAGGTTGGCAAGCAGGCAGCAGTCTTCAACGCATCTTGGATACATGACCCTCCATGGCTTTTTTATGACAACATCAAAGGTGGGATGTTTTGCAAGCTGTGCATAAAATACAACAAGAGGCCTTTAGAGAAGCCCGTATGGAATGAACAACCATGCAAAAGGATACGGCTAGACAGTGTTCGTAAACAGGATGCGTGCCATTCGCACCGCGACGCCGTCACGCTTGAGGCAAACAGCAAGGTGGCCGTGTCGCCGCTTGAAAAAGTTCAGTGCCCGGTCTCCCGCAACGCCATGAGGCAAGCATTTGCGTCCATGTATTACTTGTGCAAACACCGGATACCACACACAACGAACTTCGAGCCGCTTCTCGGTCTGCTGTCTCTGCTTGGCCTTGATGTAAAAGCACAAATAACAGCCGGAAAGAATGCTATGTACTGTAGCCAGAGGAGATGGTCACGTGCCTGTCGGATGTCATTGAAGATAAAATCCTTTGCGAACTTAGTCAGAGTGAGCACTATGCTCTCATGTTCGACGAAACTACCGACTGCGCAACTGTGGAGCAGCTGGTCATCCACTGCAGGTACATTTTCGGTGGGGAATTAAGAGTAAAATTCCTGACTATGATTGATGTACTGGGCAACCACGAACCACACCAAGGTGACGAAAGAGCATTAGCCCTCAATGCCACCAACATTGCTTGTGCCGTTGAAGATTTTATGAATAAGAAGGGTCTGCTCTTTGGTGCTCTTCACGGAATTGGAACTGACGGTGCACCTGTTACGACGGGAAAAAAAGGGGGGGCTGTGAAGTTATTGAATGACAAGCAAAAAGCTCTAACAGCTCCCCACAGCTTTCAGGCTGTAGGGGTTCATTGTGCGGCACACAAGCTCAACCTAGCAGCATTGCAGGCCGCCAAATCAATTCCATACATCAGTAAATTTAAAGAACTTTTGCAGCAACTGTACAACTTCTATGCATCCAGTTCAGTTCGAACAGCTGGGCTGAGTGCTGTGCAGAACATTTTGGAGTTGGAGCAAAGTGGAGGGAAAATCATCGAGCCATTTGCCACACGGTGGCCGAGTGTTGGCGGGTCATGCACAGCCATCCGCAATAATCTCTCGGCCATCATCATCAGTCTCTCTAGGGAGGCAGAACAACGCAGTGACATCAGGGCAGCGAAACTGCTCAAGACCGTGACGAATGCAAAGTTTGTTGGGACTCTACTGATGATGTGTGACCTTCTCCCAGCAATTCACAGGCTTTCCAGAACTCTTCAAACATCATCGCTGCAGGTGGACCTTATACAAAGACTTATAAAATCATGCATAAAGACCTTGGAAATGCAAAGCAACATCCAAACAAAGGTCAAGGATTTTTGTGTCAGCCATGACATAGAGGTAACCATTACAGAGAAATCTGAACAATGGCTCCATAACACCAAAAGGGCATTTGTCAAGAAGCTGCTGGAAAATATCCAGGACAGGTTTCAGGACCACCCTACATTGGCCAGCTATTCTACTGTGTTTGACCTTAGCAGCTACAAACAAATGGTTGGTGGCAACGGCATTGAAGTTGTCAGTGCGCTGCAGAGGCTTTGCCCCACTCTTGGCAAGCCATATACTGAGGATATGCTTGCAGAGTGGATTGCTTTTGCCAACTTCGTGCTTGAGTGCGACCGTGTACAAAAGCTGACAGCTGCAGACTTCTTGCTTTTTGTGGCACATGATATGAAAGAACTGTTTCCTATCATGGCTTGTTTAGCAGGGTCATATCTTGTACTGCCACCGCACACTGTAGACTGTGAGCGAGACTTTTCTGCTCTTAAGCTAATTAAGACGCAGCTAAGAAACCGCCTGAAAGAAAAGTCGCTGGACTGCCTTATTCGCATTGCATGCGAAGGACCTGATGTTGACACCTATCCATATGAAGAGGTTGTTGAAAAGTGGGCGAAGAGCAAGAATCGGAGGCTGAAGGTGTAACATGTCCGGGAAGGCAGAAATAAGAAATAAAGTCCCTTGTATTTTGTAATTCTGCTTGAACATCTGCACATCTGCTGTTGCGCTGTCATTATTCGGTTCATGCTGATAGGACCCACCCTCACTCCCCCTGCTTGACCCTCTGTTGTGTTGTCATTATTCGGTTAACGCTCATATGACACGACCTCCTCCTCGCCCTCCTTCTCCTCCTCCCCCCCTCTCGCCGTCCACCTCTCAAAATTTTCTGGGGAGAACCCTGTTAGCTCCCGATGCCATTCCTACGCTGTTGCCTCAGTGCCCAGCCTACCTCTCCGTTAAAACCCCGCAACAGAGAACGGAAAGGAAGAGACCTGCACGTTCAGTTCCACTTCGAGGAAAGAAGCCGCACCAGGACGTCAGAAGCGCTGACTACACTAACAACGAACATGAGGTGCTTGAAGAACCTGAATCTGCAGAATCCTCGCCTTTTAAGTTTCAGACCCTACGTTCACTAGCACCATCGCCGAGGTGGTGCCGCATTGAAGATGATAGTGTCGGCTTGGTTTTCGCGACGTCTTCGTTGAAGAAGCAAGGAAGGCTTGTTTGTCATGAGCGAGCTGTCATTTTCAAGAAGTCCTCAGGAGACGAAGTTTGTACTGCCATTTATTGTCAAGGGGTTCTGTGCTCAGAAAAAACAATCACCTCCATTGGCGAAGCTGCAGCTGTACTGGATGATGCCATGGCAATGTGTGTCTGCAAGGGAGCAATGTCGGACAACGAATTCAGGCAAATGTTGCCGGTTTTGACGGTGAGGCAGCAAGCAGCAACATACACCAACGGACTCTACGTCTTCAGTGCCAAGTGCTCCGGGAAGGTCTTGTCCGATGGTAAGTGCATTCAAGTGCTTTGATCTACAAGCGCCGCATGTATTTATTAAGTATTTAAACAATTGCTTTTTTTTCATGTACAGGACTTATTTGCCCAGAGTGCAAGTCGCATCGAAAGCTATTGTTGATTAGAAAGTCGTGCCAAAAAGCTCATGTGCCTAAGAAAGGAGCCCTTGCCCAGAGCCTGAAGCTTCAGAGGCAAAAAACCAGGCATTTGAAGAATAGCGCTACTGCACTGAAAAATCAACTGAAAGCAATGTCAGCTAAAAACAAAGCCATCACTGAGGAGGAATTTACTTCTAGGATAAAAGCCCTTGCTCCGAAACAGCGTGAAGCAACACTTCACATGTTTAAAATCGGCATCACGAAAAAGCGCAAAAGGCATGAAATATTCCAATGAATGGGTTTTGGAATGTCTTATAATGAAAATGAAGAGCGCCAAGCTTTATGAGCAACTGAGGAAAGAAAATATTCTGTCACTGCCAAGTAAAACAACATTGCGCAAATATTTGAAGTCGTACAGAACAGGGTTTGGCTTCTGCCCAAAGATTTTCAATGTGGCGAGTGAAAAGACAGCCACAATGGAGGAATACGCACGCCACGGTGGAATTATTGCAGACGAAATGCACCTTTCTGAGCATCTTTCTGTAACAACAACCGGCCACATAGATGGTTTTGTGGATCTAGGTAGCTTTACGTCTCCTAAAGGTAAGCACACACCGTGTGACCATGGAATGGTTTTAATTTTCGTACCGTTCATTGGGAAATGGACTCAAATTCTGGCAGTGTTTGCAACAAGAGGAAACGTCAATGGAGGTACCCCGACCAAGATCATGCTTGAAGCCATAATTTTGGCCGAAAAAGCAGGCCTGAAGGTGGACTTCATCACATCAGACTGTGCAAGTTGGAACAGACGCATGTGGACGCTAATGGGTGTCAAGGCCTTCTTGAATGAGATCAAGTGCAGTGCACCACATCCAGTAGACGAGCACCGTCAGCTCTACTTCATATCAGATTTCCCTCATCTCCTCAAGTGCCTTCGAAACCGGCTGGTATGCTTGGATTTTCAAACACCGAAGGGTCAAGTAAGTACCTTAATCAATCCAAATAACGAGCTATTTAACCTACCACAAATTTTCTTCCAGTCGCTCTAACTTTCAGTGGATTATCACTGCTTTGGTTATATGCAGGTGACTATGCGAGCTATTCACAAGGCTTTGGAACTGGATGGCAGCAAAGTTACCCTGCAGGCTATGCATGGCATCACATCCAGCCATACAAACCCTAACAACTTCGAAAAAATGCGAGTTGGCTTGGCAGTCCAGCTGTTCAGTGAAAAAGTAACACATAAGCTTCAGCTGCACAAACCCAGGCTGGAACATCTGTGTGCTAGCATGGCAGCAACAATTCACTTTTTTGAGTAAGCATTGCAAAATTTTATATTTACCTAATTTTGTGCTACTGTAACTCTTTGCAGCTTTCTTAGCTGCGCATAAAGCTCACTGAAACATTCTTTTGCAGGACCATACATGGTGTTATAGAAGTCATGACATCGCGCTTTCCAGCTCAAGCACTCCACCCCAACTCTCGATCAGCTGAGAAGCTAAACTCTTTTCTAACCTTTTTGTCAGAGTGGGAACGCCACACAAATGGGTAAAGGGGCTTTCTCAGTCAGTCCACAGCAACTGGACTGCGAGTAAGACTACCAAATACCTTGTCGCTGTTGAAGTATTTGACTGAAAATGTAGGTTTCAAGTATTTGATGACGAGAAGGTTGAGCCAGGACCCTGTCGAACATCTCTTTGGCATCGTTAGACAGTCGTCGGGGTGCAATACCCACCCGACACCTCAGCAGTTCATTGCTACAGTGAACTGTCTCAGGTTCAGCAATCTTGCACACTCTGTTTCAAAGGGGAACTGTGAGCCTGCTGTTCTCAGTTCACTCTTGAATGCAGATGCTGGTGAGCAGAACACTTGCACTGGGAGGCAGAAGCTGATTGACAGGTTTCTCGATGATGGAAACCTAGATGCCGCAGATGCCTTACTCACTAAGGCTGCACCAGATCATTCTCCTGTTGTTGTGGCATCAAGCGATCGCAGACTAATCTTTTACATTGCTGGTTATGCCGCAAGAAAGTGCATTCTCAAAACTGGTTGTGAAGAGTGCATTAACCTTCTTTTGCTCACCAAGGAGGCAGCTGATGATTTGAATATGGCTGAGCTTGTCCGTTTGAAGGACAATGGCGGGTTACTCTATCCTGCAGGCAAACTGTGCAAATTTGTGGCCGACCTCGAGAAGTCATTCACAACCTGCTTTAGCCTTTTAGAGCTGCACTCTGAAAGCGAGCTTGATGTGTTAGACATTGTCAAAAAAAAGCAGCAAACTACGCTTGGATGCCCAGAACATGCTGAAGCCATAGCTGCTGACGTAACTGCATTTTACTTAACGACACGCCTGCATTTCTTTACGAAAAGTATCAATCGAGCTAACGACAAAAGGCGGCAGGCATCAAAGCATTTGAAGTTGAGCAGGTGGTAAATGAGTGTGTACATGAAAGCTGTTGATCATCACGGTCAAGATGTTTCCCGTTACTATTTTTGTAGTGAAGTAAGTTGTCAATAAATTCTTGAAGTGTGGTTTCATATGAACATGGCTGTGGTGTCATTTTTCATAATTACGCCTAAATAAAACCGCCGTAATCGTCAAAAACTTTCATGGCCATAACCGTGTCGTTTAAACAATGATGAAAAAGGTTCGACTGAGTAAAAGTATGGGGAAAACTTTGAGCCCATTAGGTCATTAGCGGCGGCAGGGGGGACTCGTGCGCACGCCTATGGTCATGCGAACAGTTAGCTTTGCACGTCATCACAATGGTACGTCCTTGTTTGGTGGCATTTATAACAAAAAAAAAAAATTGCTCTCGAAGTCAAAGTTTCGCTGACAGCACGAAAATCGGAATGCTGTATTCTTCGCGCTTTAATAGTGACGTGGCCTTCGTACACGTCTTTTAAATGTTGAACAACGCTAGCCATCAAAATGTGTGGGCTTTCACCAGTGAGAAGGATGTATTTATTTATTTATTTATTAGAATACCCTCAGGGCCCGTAGGGCATTACAGAGGGGGTGGGTACAACATTTTATAACACACAAGAAAAAAAGACAAAAAAGAAACAAGTGTCAGATGCGCAAATCACGAAGGCAACATAAATCAACTAAAAATGTATAAGTAAGAATTCAAGCACATACAAGACAAAGATAGATAATGGAAACTGCGTATAGTTACAAACATTGATGAGAAATTGCAGTCTTGAATAACAAAGGGTCTGTTATTGTTACAAGGAAGATTATTCTTCGAATGGAGTCAATAAATGAGCTGTAAAACGCGAAATAACAAGCAAAATTCTAAAAAATGCCGCGAGATCTCGTCTTATGAAAAGTTGCAGTGGCGCCACGTCGTGGCGTCAGTATTTTCAAACGACTCGCTCACGCCTCGCTGCTCGCGCCACTAGAAGTCTTCTAGTTCACTATACTTTTGGCGTTGCATAAATGGTTGCCAGACAGGAAGGGTCAGCGTTGCCAAACTGCCGCTAAATTTGACTGCAAATTTTTTTTTTTTTTTTTTTTTTTTGTAGTTGTGGCCTCTCTGTGAGAATTTGGTGCCATTCGCGGTGCATTTCGCAACGGGCGACGCTGGTCGTTTTAATTAACGGAATGAACCACACATTACAGAATTCGTTTTATTTACGGAATGAACCGCGCCTAGCAGAAGTCGAGCGCGCCGCTGCTGTGCAATTAAGAGGTTGTTTTAATTAACGGAATGAACCGCGCATTACAGAATTCGTTTTATTTACGGAATGAACCGCGCCTAGCAGAAGTTGAGGCACGTTCTCTTGCTGTGTGCGCAGCTGTGCGATTAAAATATCGCGTCTCAGTATTAGGGATGACGGGGAATAAAACGAATTCTTTAACGCGCGGTACATTCCGTTAATTAAAACAAATTCGACTTCTAGGCGCAGTTCATTTCGTTAATTAAATAGGCTTCCTAATTACACGGCAGCGCCACACTCGGCTTCTGCTAGGCTCGGTTCATTCTGTTAATTAAAACGAACTCTGTAATGCGCGGTTCATTCCGTTCATTAAAACGGAATTAAAACGGCCTTTTAATTGCACGGCAGAACCACGCTCGACTTCTGCTAGGCTCGGTTCATTCCGTTAATTAAAACAGCCAGCGCCGCTCATGCACTCGCGAAATGCACCGCGGATGGCACCAAACTCTTACAAAAAAGCCACAACTACAGGAAAAAAATTTTTAGCCAAATTTAGCAGCAGTCTGGCAACAACCACCCCAAAGTCTGGCAACTGATTTATGCAACGCCAAAATGAAGCTTGCCCATTGTATGACCGTGGTGTGTGAATTTTTTGTTTTTTTCACATTTCAAGGTTTAAATGATTTCACCGAGAATTATGTCCGATTTTAAACCTAACAGTAGGCTTCAACGTCGAGCTCAATAAAAAAACAACCTCGTATTATCATCATATCGTTCGCGAATCGTATGCATTTTCAATATTTTGTGAACAGCATGTTGCGTTGCTGTTCAGTGGTTTTCTGGCGCCGGTGAACAAACGAGTGGCAAATTCGCACTCGCGCTCATCAGGCGATGCGGCCTGTTTGAGACTAGTCGGCGCATGTTACATTCAAGAAAAAGAAAGCTTTAAGGTACTGTCGTAAGCTAACTTAACACGAACGCCCGACGCATGACGGACTAATGTAGCTGATGCCAGCCGCGCACCGCTGGGCGCTGTTCCCAACTTCTCGGTATGCTTTGCTAGTATGTGGGCATGCATGGGTAGCGTCTCGGCACAGAACCCAAGGCTACGTGGCGCTATAGCGTCAATTGAACGGACAGACTACCAAATTCGATGCGTTGGTTATCTGTCGCGTTCCGCGCACGCCTTTGTTCATCAAGAGTTGCAATGTCTGTTTGTTGTTGATGCATTTGTTGGTAACGGTTTTGATGTTGGTAACGACTAAATGTAACAGGAATGCAGCAGTGATGAAAAATAGGGCACTGTGGAATTACAATAGGTATGATGTTGCGAGTATAAGTATGATATGGAAAGGGGTCATTGTAATTCCACAGTGCCCTATTTTTCATCACTGCTGCATTCCTGTTACCTTTAGTCGTTACCAACATCAAAACCGTTACCAACAAATGCATCAACAACAAACAGACATTGCAACTCTTGATGAACAAAGGCGTGCACGGAACGCGACCGATAACCAACGCATCGAATTTGGTAGTCTGTCCGTTTAATTGACGCTATAGCGCCACGTAGCCTTGGGTTCTGTGCCGAGACGCTACCCATGCATGCCCACATACTAGCAAAGCATACCGAGAAGTTAGGAACAGCGCCCAGCGGTGCGCGGCTGGCATCAGCTAGATTAGTCCGTCATGTGTCGGGCGTTCGTGTTAAGTTAGCTTACGACAGTACCTTAAAACTTTTTTTTTCTTGAATGTAACATGCGCCGACTAGTCTCAAACAGGCCGCATCGCCTGATGAGCGCGAGTGCGAATTTGCCACTCGTTTGTTCACCGGCGCCAGAAAACCACTGAACAGCAACGCAACATGGTGTTCACAAAACATTGAAAACGCATACGATTCGCGAACGATATGATGATAACACGAGGTTGTTTTTTTATTTAGCTTGACGTTGAAGCCTACTGTTGGGTTTAAAATCGGACATAATTCTCGATCAAACCATTTAAACCTTGAAATGTGAAAAAAAAAACAAAAAATTCACACACCACGGTCATGCAATGCTTTTAAAAGCAACTGGGTAAAACTCACACAAGGTGCATTTGTGGCAAGTTGACCGCAGGCGTGGGAACGCTGTCCCCCGTTAACCAATTCTCGTTTGTTCACCGGCGCCAGAAAACCACTGAACAGCAACGTAACATGGTGTTCACAAAACATTGAAAACGCATACGATTCGCGAACGATATGATGATAACACGAGGTTGTTTTTTTATTTAGCTCGACGTTGAAACCTACTGTTGGGTTTAAAATCGGACATAATTCTCGATCAAACCATTTAAACCTTGAAATGTGAAAAAAAAAACAAAAATTCACACACCAAGGTCATACAATGCTTTTAAAAGCAACTGGGTAAAACTCACACAAGGTGCATTTGTGGCAAGTTGACCGCAGGCGTGGGAACGCTGTCCCCCGTTAACCAATTATAAGCGTTGACCATGCTCACACGCCACGATCGTAACAATGCTTTTAAGCAACTGCGTACAATGTTACTAACATGCAATGTTACTAACATGCGTACAATGTTACTAACATGCCCATGCAAAGGTGCGCTTGTGGAATGTCGAACAAAGGCATTTGAAACAATGTTTCGTAGCGCGAGCTCGCGCTACAAAGCACGCTTTCAAATGCATCACCAACAAACAGACATTGCAACTCTCGATGAACAAAGGCGTGCGCGGAACGCGACAGATAACCAACGCATCAAATTTGGTAGTCTGTCCGTTCACCGCTTATATGCTTAGGACAATGTACCGCATTAGTTGAATGTAGGATGTTATAAACACCAAGCCGTACATCCACACATGGCTCTCAACGCAAACGAGAAACTTACCAAGGCACTGCAAGCCCTCCGACAGAACAGCGACGCACTACTACCACCTACGACTCCAATGGAACTACTGCTGAGTGCTCCAACCACGGTGGCTCTAACGAATAAAAAACCTTGTAAAGACGCAATACCAGCGTTGCCAGATCAGCAGAGGCTGTGAGACTCTGTGTAGACTAAGACAAAAAAAAGCAAAAAAAATCAACTTGTAAAAGAAGTTTAAAACATAATATTGCTATTTTAAAAAAAAAATACAATAAAGCGTTTACAGAAATGTTTTAAACTTATAAGTTCTACTTTGAGAATTTTAATGTTAGAAATGTATAGAGTTTCTTAGCTAATAAGGGAGCTCCATGGATAAGTGGATAGATAAATTTAGCTGTACCCTTCAGATCGGTTTGCGGCTAACGCCACCTAGCCGTAATACTTGTGAACCAAAAATTAGATTTATCTTTTTTTTTCTTTAAATAGGGAAGTTGAGGACTGGTACTTTGCAGCGAAGGGTTTAATTTTCACTCGTGCCTTGACGTTAGCCACCAATCAGATAATCTCCTTTCAGTTATTTCTACCCGCTTTAAGTCTATTTTGCCCTTTCTGTCCCTAAACCCCGCTGCTTTGAAAAACTCTGCGCCATCATCCTGAACTATAGGGTGAAGCCCTTTAGAAAACATTATGAAGTGTTCGGCAGTTTCTTCTTCATCTCCACACGCTCTGCATACAGTGCCTACCCCTTCGTATTTGGCCCGATATGTCTTGGTTCGCAATACCCTCGTCCTGGCCTCCAACAGTAGAGAACTACCCCGAGTATTATCAAAGATCCTTTCCTTGTGCTTAAAAGTTCGATATATCTTTAGTGCGGACTTCTCAACCATGCCAATTCTCCACATGTCAGTCTCTGTTTCCTTCACTTTCTTTTTAACCGATAGTTCTTTTTGGTTTGGCCCCCTGCTGTTTTCTAAGTATTTACCAGTCACTTTTCTAGCTCGCTTACTCCATTTTGTATCGTTATTCTTCATGTAAAAGTAGCTGAAAACCTTCTTAACCCAACGCTCCTCCCCCATTTTTCTCAATCGCTTCTAATATTTTATCCTACTGCTACCTTCTCTGCCCTCAAATGTTGTCCATCCCATATCACCTTGTAGTTTCTGAATTGGTGTATTCCCGTGAGCTCCTAAAACAAGCCTACCTATTCCTCGTTCTTTAATTTCTAATCTTGCTTGAACCTGCACAAGACGGCATTGCTGAAAGCCGGACCAGGAAACATGACCTCTTTCTACATTTCTCTCACATCTTACCGATTATAGAATTCCACAGTGCCCTATTTTTCATCACCGCTGCACTCCTCTTGCCTTTAGTCGTTTCGTGTATTTCAACTCTCGCGAACACAACGCCGCTACCGCTCAACAGTTGTGACACCGAAATCAATTTCTGCGCGAGACACGTGCGCCACGTGGTGCAAGCAATTTTACAGAAGGTGTCAGCGCCCTCCCGCATGCCCCCAACCTTAATCCAAACCATATCCCGAAATTGGTGACATTTTAGTGAACTGTATGTGGGAGGTCTGTGTACATATCCTCATATTAATCTTGCAATGCTGTCGCTTTATTTGTGTAAAGATTGAAGCTTCTTTTCCTGTTAAGAATTTCTGCCAAGCAAACAAGTTCCAACAGCAGGTGATAAGAGTGAGCTTATTCACAAGCCCTTCAAGAGCACCCACAGAAGGAACTAGTACCTATAAAGCAAAACTTCCTGTGCACCAAGAAGGGCAAGAGAGGACGGGGCAGGTTAACATTTCAGGAGGGTATCCTCTGGACATCATCCTTCTCTAGCCACAAGCTTGTATGGCCAATGTTTAGCAGACTCCTACAAACATAACCTAGGTATAAATGTTGCTACTTCATTGCAAGATGACACATCATATACCTTTTGAGAGTTTCCTCACCACAAGCCCTTACATTAGCCTAAAAATAATCTTTTTCACGGTGTCCTTTTCTGTCCTAAACAGTTGTCTCAAGCAACAATATGCACATTGTGACAGTTTATCTGGTGCCCACAGAGATGGCTCCAGCCATCACGATATATACTCCATTCAAAATATAAGACCCTGTAAAATCATGGTTTGGTGTGCGTGCATAGGACCTTGAACATGTAAGCAGTGACCATTTTTCTTGTGTTCAATGCAGTGCTTCATGCTTGTCACACACCTGTTCAAGATTGTGACCGAAGAATTAGTTCTGGCAATGCTGTCTCAGAGGTAAGACTGTGTATACCCACAGGAACACCATGGTGTAGCGAGCAGAGGTTCATATCGAATGTAGTAATAAACAGGCAACACCTTGGTGATATTGTGATGGGGCGAGGTCTCGATGATGCACCGTAACAATATAAACACTCTTGCATTAATTTATTGCATTAATTTATTGAGGCAGACATCACACCGTTAAGCCTAGCTGTGATCTCTTTTCATTATTGTCTACATAGTTTTCCCATTGGTCACAGCACAGGAAGAAAAATTTCTTTGTAGGAGCACTATATTGTAAGCTTGCATGACTCCAATGAAGCACTGTGCGAACAGTGATACCCAAAATGTCAGCATTTCGTGTCCTATAAATGGTGAACTGGTTGTCACATTCAGCCGGTAATCCTGCAGGAGCTCTAGCATATACTCTAAGGTCATTTTGCATCAACAATGCCACACACAATAGTTTAACCATGGTTGTTAATGGGCGAGAGAGTGCATAGCTTCAGGGAGGTAATTAATCTAAGGGGGAAAATTCTAGATGCCTAAGCACCACAGGAAAAATGGAAAAGCACAGGGAAAGAGCATCACTCGCAGCTGAACTACAGAAAATATTGCCACGTTCCATTTTCCAAGCTTTTGTTATCGTCCCAAAACACCACACGATTCTCAGCGCAAACCGCGCCTGCAGTTTTCGAGATGGTTCCGGACTGTAGTAGATCATTTCGATAAGATCACGCCCACTGTGCGAATGGTACAGATTGTTCTGGAACGTACGCCGCCGCCAACGGTAGCGCTAGAACATTCGACGGCGGGAGTATAAATGCCGACGCGCTTCGCCGCTTGTCAGTTGTTGATCGAAGGCCGACGCTCCGTTCGCCGCTATCAGTCCGAGACTGCTATCTGTGCGAGACTGCTGCTGTAATCGGACTTTCCGTTTACCGGGCACAGGTTCGCCCAAATAAACAGTTAAATCCCAAAACGAAGTCTCCTGTCTTCGGCCACGTCACGACCCCGTGACATCTGGTGGAGGTGCTGCTTCGTTCATGTACCGCACGCCCCCGTCAAGCCGTGAACCCAGCCCACGTCGCGGAGAAGACACCGACGCCAACCAGGAGCAGCGAACAAGCCGCCGACAGCAAGGGCTACCACCGGAGTACGGGATTCTAGAAGACAAGGCGCGGAAGACCAAGGCCATGACCGCGACTGCAGCGACAATGACAACCGCCGCATCCCTGCCCACCATGGTCATGCATCAACCCAGGGAACCACCAATTTTCCATGGGTCATCGTTCGAAGACCCGGAGTCCTGGTTAGAAACATACGACCGTGTGGCCGCCCTCAACCACTGGGACAACGAAGAAAAGCTCCGGCGTGTGTACTTCTACCTGGAAGACACCGCAAGGACCTGGCTAGAGAATCGTGAGTCCACGCTCCGAACGTGGGATGTCTTCTGCGGCGCATTTCTGCAAACGTTCGCGAGCGTCGCTCGCAAAGAAAGGGCCGCTGCTCAACTAGAGACCCGGGTTCAGCTACCGAATGAGAAGGTTGGAATTTTCACAGAGGAGATGACCCGCCTATTTCGTCACGCTGACCCAGACATGCCTGAGGAGAAGAAAGTTCGTTTCCTCATGCGAGGGGTCAAACAGGAGCTCTTCGCGGGACTAATGAGGAATCCACCGCACACCGTCCAAGAATTTGTATCCGAGGCAATCACCATCGAAAAAACCCTTGACATGCGCACCAGACAGTATAATCGTCGCCTCACTCCAGAATGCGCTGCTGCTCAAACCAGTGACTCCGAAAACCTGCGTGAAACGATCCGAGCGATCGTGCGGGAAGAGCTGCGCAAACTGTTGCCTTCGGCGCAACCTCAAGTGGATTCGATCGCCGACATTGTGCGAGAAGAACTTCGGCAATCACTTCGAATTCCCCATACACCGCTGCCCGAGCCAGAAACTATGAGCTACGCCGCTGCAGTGCGCCACAACGCTCCTCCCCGTCCACGCCAAAACGCCGCCCCGTCGCACTTCCGTCGCCAGACACCACCGCCGCCACCACCCACACCGACGACCTACCGTTCACCAGCGGGCCAGCGCAGTGCGCCGAGGAAAACCGACGTTTGGCGCACCCCTGACCACCGCCCACTGTGCTACCACTGCGGCGAGGCCGGGCACACTTACCGCCGTTGCCAGTACCGACAGATGGGACTGCGTGGCTTCGCCGTCGATGCACCACGTCCGCAGCCAGGAGAACGACCACGTGACATCGCCGCCTACCTGACAGGAACTCGGTGGACACCACGAAGCCCTTCGCGTTCGCCGTCGCCCAGCCGCCGCACGTCACCGCACCACCGACAGTACTCTGGCCCAACGCGGGGCCGGTCTCCTAGCCCGTATCCGGGAAACTAAGGGCAGCAACCGGTGGAGGTGCGGTTGCTGTGCGACGAACTACCGAAGATCCTCCGGCGACGACGACGCCGCGACGGAGCTTTCCGAACACAACGCCAACCAGGCAAAGCCCTGACGGCGAAAGCTCACTTACTGAAGGTGGCCTGACGACGCAACATGGAAGCAGCGGAACAAGCCGACGCAGCCGTGACCCGACGCCACGCCCTAACTGTAATGCGAGACGGCGAATTAGCGACCTCGACGTTCTTATCGACGGCCACAGTGTGACCGCTCTCGTCGATACTGGAGCCGACTATTCTGTCATCAGTGGGTCATTCGCCGCGAAGTTAAAGAAAGTTAGGACAGCTTGGAAAGGCCCTGAAATCCGCACAGCCGGAGGTCATCTCGTAACGCCTGCAGGAATCTGCACAGCGAGAGTCACCATTAACGGCCGTATTTATCCTACAGACTTCATGGTCC